AAACCCCACAATCTGGGCGAGACATGTCTGGCACACCACGCCTATAACCTCGGCTCCAGTTCCGTGATCGGTCCTCCCCTGCGATCTGCGACTGCGGACTAGCTTACGGATTATTCTCTACGACGGCATTTCCCGGTCCAAGACCCCAGAGTCGGAGATGGTGCTGACGCCACACCTTAGCCTCGACCCTCGCCACCCCGTTCCACTACCCCTTCTTGCCCTGCAACCGCTCGCATTCATTCTCGGTCTCGTTCGCGAACCCCTACGTCGGCGGCGGCTCAACTCTTGACCTCGCTCTAGAACTTGGGACATTTCCTGCCCTGTATCCTGTCACCTGCGAAACGTTGCACCCCCTCCCCAGTGTACTCGCCCCCGTCGCCCCCCCCAGCGCACACCACCATCTACCGTCATATTCATCAACTTCGTTTGTCGGTCGGTCAAGCGTTTTGGAAACTACGCTATTCCTTGACGACCCTCCATCACGTAAAGCCGCCCGCCCCGCAATACGGGCAGCCCTGGAGCCACGGCACCGCCCGGCACGCACCACGGGACGTTCGAGGCCACTGCGCTGCTCGTTCTGGTTTCGAGCGCATCCTCTCGCAGCACCATCACTCACTCCAACTATCCTACACATTTCTACACGGCACAGACCACGCGCCCAACGCCACCGGACTAGAAAGTCGACAATCCCGCCTCATTCGGCCAACCTCTAGATTTCCCAGACGGGCCGTGTCTCGCGTGAGACTATATTCTGACACCTCCCAAACTACTGGATCTTGAGATCTGGCAAACACTGGCCTCGGCGCTGTGCACGGTCACGGCCACATCTGAATCGCCCGCACACGGCACACGCCTGGTCCACACGACCGCCCGGCGCGAGTCGCACACACGATGCGGAGAAGAGCCGACAGTCCCCTGGGGCCTGTGACCCACGGTGGGTGTGACTGCCGCCGCAGCCGTTCCTCGGCACGGCGGCATGCCTGTTTCCGGTCGCGCGCTAACTTCAGAACACCAGCCCGCCAAGCGAATGCGACGCGAATCTGGCGGCGGTTCACAATCGCCCCCTCGGTCCGCGAACTCGTACCGCGGCCCAGAGGACACCTCCCCTCGAGTAATCCGTACGGCCTCGCCCCAGCGGCCCACCCTTCCACCCCTCCACCAACCACCTCACATGCAGGCTGGTCCTCCGTCGAGTGGCGAGCGCCGCGATGTACCATTTCAAAGCTTTGGACAGGCAGGGCGTGCGGCGGGTCAGTCTCAGCCGCCATATGGTCACCACCCCAGCCAGAGCTGGCATGGGCACCGGTCTCGGCACTCGATCGACACGCCGCACATCAACTTGAAGAGCCCGTCGCCGCCGGCGGCGACGAGCCCAGAACGCCAGCGTCAAGCCGCTGAGGCGCGGTCCACGAGTGCGCAGCCGCCCAACGCGACTGGAACGCCGACAGACGTCGTGTTCACTCGGGACGTAACGAACCGGCAGCCCCGCTCCATGATGGCGTGCATGCGCTGCCGCAGGCAAAAGTGAGTAGTCATCCTACTCAAGCTGACGTCAGAATGAAGTGTGACGGACCTGGGAAGGAGCCATGTCGAGGCTGCAGACAAGCCGGCGTAACGTGCATCTTTGAGAGTCGCACCCGGCCAAAGTCGATCTCCACAATGCCGAGCCGCGCCTCGCCGTTCTTCGGCGGCTCGATGCCGCCTGGGAGAGGTGGGACACCTGGTGGTGGACCTGGGTTCTACCCTCCCTCTGCCCAACCCGCGGCGCCGATCACCTCCCGGCCGACGATGGTGCCAGACTACGCGATGCGACCGCCTCACCCTGGTGGCCCTGGGCGCGAACCGATGCCCCCACCCCAGCCACACCCCAACTATCCGCCTCCATTGCGGCAGCACACGCCTCCTGGCCCCGGAGGTCCTGGGGGCCCAGGTGGCCCAGGAGGCCCGCCGCCGCCTCAATACTACACCGGCCCACCACCAGGTGCGCCGGGATATGGCCCGCCCCCTACCGCACCTGGGCCGCCGCCCGTCGTTGTCGCGCAGCAACCTTTGGACCCACGGATGGACAGCCGATTGCGTGGGCTGGAGACGGCGTTCCGCAGCGTCGCAAACCTCCCGGCCGCTGTGGCAGGTATTCAGCAGACGCTCAACTCTCTGCTGCGAACACAAGACGCGCTGGCGTCCCAGCTGGCTGGCGGCGCGGCGCCGACTCTTGCTCCGCACAGGGCCATCGCTGAGGTCCCGGACCACGTCTGGGAGAGCTACCGCGTCGGCGCGTGGCCTCTCACCCCATGGCTTCCAGGCATCTCCCCGCTCCCCGGCCTGCCAGCTCACGTCTTGCAGTGTTTGGGGCGGCGAGCGGCGGCGGAGCGCACCGAGACTAGTCGGCAAGAGGGCGATGCGGCGGCCGATACTGTCGTGGCTGAAATCAGTCGCCTCCTCGGTGCACGAATTCAGTGGACCCGTGACGAGGTCCTCTCTCTCGGCGTGTACGCGACGTGGACGGCGGACAGCGCACTCGGCTGCCTCGCCGTTGGGCTCGCGCGCGACCTCCAGCTCGATCGACCTCACACACTGAAGCGGAGCCACGACGAGTGGCGCGAGTGGATATATGTTGTCCTCACGGACCACATGGTGCACCTCCCGAACTTCGACGTGCCAATGATGCACGACCCGCTGGCGCCTCACTGGCGCGAGCTCGTCGCTGATTCGCGCCCCTCCGACCCATCCACGCTCGACCGGGACTCGAAACTGCTCGCGTGGCTCGAGTACTCCGAGCTCCTAATCGAAGTCCAAGCAGCGCAGCGCAGCAACGACCCACCCAGTCCTAAGAGGGAGAGTACGGAGCGCGAGGAGCCCGTCCCGGAAGATACCCAGCGGCAGCGCGCACGCGACATATGGCGCCGCTTCGCGCCGCGCTGGGACGCATGGGCCGGTTCTGCGGCGGCACGGCATGATCCCGTCCTCTCCCTCCATCTCAACTACGCGATCTTGTATACCGCCAGTCCCGTATGGGCTGCCAGTGAGCGGGTATGGGCCGCTGTGGCCCAGAGCCACGAGGGATACGCGCAGCTTGAGCGCGCCCGTGATGCAGCATTCGCTGTGCTCCAGACCCTAGGCAGCCCCGAGATCGGGCGTACCGTCGCGTACAGCTTCCCCGTGCTGCGGTCCATGTTCGGGCTCGCGATAGCCCACCTCGTCGGCCTCGTCACCAAGCTCGCGCACACGCCCATCATCTCCCTCCCACACGTGCAAGGCCAGCTGCGCGCCGTGCTGGATCTCCTGGCCGACGCGGCGCCGCTCGACGGTGCGCCCGCTCCCCCATCCCCGTCCTCGCCTGCGGAGGATGCGCCGGCCCTCCCGCCCTCCTTGCTCCGCGACATGGTTGAGACGGGCCAGGTGGCGGCCATCGGGAAGCGAGACATCGTCGGCGCTGAGCCCGGGCGCGACCTGTGGCGACGCATTCTCGGTTAACTGTTACGGACATTTTGCTTTACGATCAGCGGGGGAACAGATCCTGCACGATTGGATATGACTGTCATGCCACTCTTGGTGTCACTTGCTTGCTTGCCTTCTTCTTCTGCGTCTGCGTTCCGTTCATGTTTCAGTTGTGCTGGGGCGGGAACGCTGCTGTCATGATTGCCTCCTGACGTAAAGCGCCTCGCGACACATCCCATCGTCTCATCGACGAACCCGAGACCGCAGGGGCCGGGAGGGGAGCCGGAAGGCAGGGGCTGACCGACGTCAGCAGCGTGTTCCGGTGCCTCCATCTCGGCATCGCGACTGCAAAGGGCCAAGCGCCGGAAACTGCCACAGGAGGCTGGCACAGTTTCGAATCCGTCTCACCGGCATGGGATGCCGGGGTTTCAGGTGCAATCGAAACGGCGGCGGTTGCCACCACCCGGGAGAACGCCGAGCGTATCGACAAGCAACAGGACAAGCTCACAAGCTGACAAGAATCTGGTAACCTAGTGCATATACTACGGTTATGCCAGGTATCGGTACACACCGATGTCGCTCGTGCGCTCGAGGTACTCGCGCTGCTGTCAGCATGATGCCAAATAGCAAGCTTACGTCAATCAGCCCCTCGATGCGCTTCTTGATAAGCCCCGTGCTCGGCTGGAACCGCGTGCTGAGCTGCAGCGCTACCTCGCTAACGAGGTCGTTGTGACCCATCGTTTTGCGGCTCTTCATGATGCGTACAATACACGCTTCAACTTGGTGCTTGCGCTCCTCGTCAACCATCTCCTGCGTTTCCTCGCGCTCCTTGGGCGTTTCCACCTTGCTGGCAATCTGCATGATCTTGATGCGCGCCAGCGGACTGGTGAACCCGTCATTGAAGGCGAAGGTGTCGCTCAGGTTTACCTCTCGCCCTTTAGGCGTCTTTGTCAGCACACGGTACTTGCCGCATGCAAGCGACTGCAGCGTGCGCTGCAGATCCGAGTCTGCCAAATCCGTTGCTGCTTTAATTTCCTGTCGTTAGTCGAGATCGGACGAGGCAAACTCGCCTCATAGGACAGGTTCTCGCCCTCCTTGACCTCCTCGAATAGAAGAAGCACGACTAGCGCTTGCGTTGACACATTCAGGTCGTGCGGTCGTGCTTTGAAACGAACTCTGACGTCTGCCGTCCCGAGGTTCGCCTGCCAGGTGAGCCGACGCCCCGAATGCCGGCTGTCATAATAGCGTTGATATAGCTGCGTTGCCGCGCCCAGGGGCTCCCCGAATCTGCACGTGTTTGTCGTCACGATCTGCTGTGGCCAGTACGAGGCCGTGAGGACCTTCACGCTCATGTCAAAGGGCGCGGCGCCATGTCGGCCTTGATATGCCTGGAAGCTCTTTGCGCTGTCCGCACTCAGGCGCATGTCGTTGAACATACCCTCGAGCTTCTGTACAAACTGGAAACCCATTTCAATCTTGAGTTTGGCAACCATCCCTCGTTCCGCATCGTCGCTGGCGCTCCGCCCGTACAGTAGTCGCCGAGCCAAGTGAACCTTGTAGTAGCGCTCGAATTTGTCCTTATCTGAAAGAAAGCGGAACAGAATGAGCGTCTTCTCAAGGGCCAGTTCAATTTCCTCCTCGCTCTTGACCTTAGCACCCTTCTTCAAATGCTCGTCGATGAAAAGCGACAGGAACTCAGGTGAGCGTTGGTTGGCATTGATGAACGACTGGAATGCCTGCGAGTCAGCTACCACTGCTAGTTTACTCACCTCGTTGATGGACGCCTGCACCTGCTTATCGCCCCCAAACGCTTGATCCAAGATGCGGTCAAACTTGTCCTTCAAGTCGAGAACATCCTGCACCCATCGAAGCGCCTGTGCCAGAGCCGTAGCGCCTGCGCTTGGCCCTTTCGCCTTGCCCTTGCCTTTGGGGTCAACTTTCTCCTCTTCTTCGTCCTGCGGTGCTGATGCGGCTGCCAGAGCGCTATCGTTGATCGCCTTCCCGCGCGCCTCGACACTATCACGCAGTGCGAGGCGCAGGGCATCCTTGCCAACGTCATTTGGCACGCGGAGGAAGAGGGTGTACAATCGCCGGAGGTCATCCCTCCGGTCGCCGTCCAGCATAGCCACGAGACCCGTCCCGGGCATGCGCATAATCGCATGCAGGTGTGGTGTGAGAAGTTGGTCGACGACCAGCAATTGCAGCGGCCCGCTGGTATTGGACCAAAGATAGTGCGCAGTGCGGTCATTTTCCTCCGACAAACGTCGCTCGACGTTTCGAAGGTACGCCGATGAATCGGCCTTGACAAGCTGCGCAATCGCTTCTTGCCGGTAGAACTCAGCGGAGCGGCGTAAGAACTCGGGCTCGAAGTCGGTCGAATACACTGATCGTCCGCCTAAGCGCTCAGAGTTCTCCAAACGGAGGAGGAAATCCACGCAGTCGGCGACACTAGAGCGTTGGATTGTGAGGCCATCACGCTCGAGCTGCACCTGGCCCAGCAGGGTTCCCATCAAATGCGTATGGATAGGATGAGTGGGGGAGCGGACGATGTGGGAGAGGAACAGCTGCAAGCCGGCGTCGTACACGGCCGGCAAACCCTGCTGTCGTGTGTAGTCCTTGTCCTGGGAGTCAACGGTGCGGATGGGCGTCACTCACCATATACCTCAAGATATCCTTCAGCTTGCGCATGCTGCCGGTGTGGTCGTCCCAGACGCCCTTGACGGCTCGCAAGAAGCGGTCGCCCTCCACTGCGCGCTCGACCGCTTCGGCGCCTCCACCTGGCGCAGAGGCCTGCGTTCCACTTGCGCGGGGGAAGGCGGGAACGATGCGCTCTTCTGCCAACTTGTCCAAGTGTTCCGCGACGATCCCCTTCACGCCGTTATAAAGCTGATCGCCATCTGATCGTCAGCCATCTGTCCTAGCGGTGGATGACCTACGCTTGTACAACACCATGTTGTAGGCATATCGGTAATGCTCTTCGAACGAGAGTTTAGACGCATTATGGTTCTGGATCTCACGGATCGCATGCGACAGCTTGTTCCAGATCTCTTTAATGCTCGTGTCGGGACCCAACTGCGGTCAGTCTCCGCAAGTGTAGTCAGCGAACCTTGGGTGGAGGGCGCTGCGACGGTTAGCGAGCGCGCGGCGGGAACCTACAATCTTGGGCTTGGGCCGCCGGGCCGAACCCGTTGACATTGTGCGGGCCTGCAGCTTGAAGAGGTTGCGATGGGGGAGGGAGTGGTGAAGTGAAGAGGGTGGATTGACAAACATCAGACACGCAACCTCCCATCACCTTGCTGCTCGGTGGCGCAGGCGACGGAATAGGATCTGCCATTACAAAACCGCCCTTATAGCCACGTGGCAATTGTAAGTGCAGAGGTGCACTCGACACTCATTCACCACTCAAGATACGCAGCGATCCGCTCGACTTTTTCCACCTCGACTGTCAACATCACGCCAATGGCCACCTCGGCCAACGCCCTGTACGTACTTCGGCTCGTTCTGGGCGGGGTACGACGGCGTCCCTTCGTACCCGCCAGTACTCGCGCGTTCTCCGACTCCTCATACGCACCAAGTTACGCCAACCCGCCATCCTTTCTCGAGGCCGATGAAGGCGAGTACGCCGAGGCAGCTGAGTTCTTGCCCGACCGTGAAGCAACCGACGTCTCACCGGTTCCTTGGCCGACGGTATTTGAACACGGCCAGAGGCGGCCTCACCGCCCTCAGCCGTGCGACATCGTTGCGCGCCTAGTCGCTAGCGAGAAGCTAAAGGCGGCCCGCAAGGTCGTCGAAGAGTTAAAGGCCCTCCACACCCCGGTGCAACATCGCAAGGTCTACCGGGAGCCCGCGCTCGCGTCTCTGCAACCCACTGAAGAGGGACGGCGCAACTTCATGTTCTGGATGGAGTTGTTTCCGGCGCGCGGCGCGACGCCGAACTACCGTAACCTCCGACGCGAGTGGGAGTGGGTGGCACATCGCATTCTAGCCGAAAATATCGATGACCCGGCATTTCTCATTGAGGTATTAGAGCTGGCCGGGCGCAAGGGTCTGCTAAACGTCATCTTTCCAGTCTTCGTTGTGCCGCTCGCGGCGATTCTCCCGCCTCATGAGAGTGAGGCCGTGGTCGCTCGGGCGATTGCGGCTTACCGTGCCACTTGTCGCCCCAAGTCCGCCTCGAAGCTGGGGCGCGGCCTCGCTTCTCTCACCGACGTCCAGGTGGAGCTATGGTGGAACAAGTATCTCCGCGCACTCGCCATCGTTGAGCATAGCGAGGCAGCGCTGGCGCTCCTGCATTCTCCACCGCCCGGCGTGCGCTTTCAAGCGTGGGCGCGTTCAATGGTACTTGGCGAGGACATGAGCAAGAAGCGACGTGCAGACGTCGCCAAGGCAAAACAAGCATCTCGACGTGATAGCCCGCTGTTACAGCTCATCGACAGCCCACCACCTGATGGCGACCGGCGCATCCTGGCGAAGTATCTCCAGCGCGTGCTTGATCGGACGCAACACGACCTTCCGCACGTTGGTATGCTGGCCGATACGCAGCGCTTGCTTCTCATGTACCGCCCAGAGCTACTCCCTACTCTCGAACGCTGGTTCACCGAGCCTGCCAGGGAGAGTCTCGTCAGCGACAGCACCACTGTACGCCAACAGTGGTGGGCGCATGCTGAAGTGCTTCGTCACGGGCGTGCAGGAGACCACGCCGAGGCGGTGCGTGCCTTCCGTCGCCACTTCCTGTGGGTTGGTCTTCCGCCTACTACCGTGGGTGCTGCGGAGCTGGGCTTGCGGCCTCGTCGCATCCCTAACAAGCGTATCATCTGCTCCGTTCTACCATCGATTCTGGCGCTCCTCAGCCCAGCTGAGCGCGAGGCGTACCGCAAGGCGTTTTACGCGTCGTCGCGATCGCTTGCCCCGATCTTCTGGCCCAATCGCTTCACACATCTCGCTTTCGTGCGCGCCGAGGCGCATGCGGGCGGGCCATCTGCTGCCACGGAGGTGGTGCAGAATATCGTGGCGGTGGGACAGAACCCTGGATTGCCGGCGTGGACTGCGCTTCTTCTGAGCCTCATGGGGCGGGGAGACGTCGAGGCGGCCCTCCGCCTGCTAGACTCGATGGAGCGCCGCGCGCCGCTCACCGAAAAACGCCGCATGCCGCCTCCGACTGGTCGGACATACGCAGGCCTCGTGCGGATCGCGGCCAAGCACGGCCGGATTAGTGTCGCCGCGGATCTGCTGCGTCGGTATCGAAAGCATGGGGAGGTGGGCGGCGAGCTTGGCAGCTTAGAAGCATTCTTCGCCGACGTCAAACGCCGTGGCAGGACACCTGAGGAGATAGCGGAGGCCGAGCGCAGCCAGGCAGCCGTCAAACGAGAGCTTGACCGGCTGGATGGCGACGACCTCAAGCCCCGAATCCGGATGCTGTTTGAGCGACAACGGCACATGGAGAGCGGCGAGAAGCAAGACACAGAGGCAGGAAAGGGAGTCGACGTCGATGAGGGAAGAGCTGGAGGTCGCGAGAGGGGGCAGCGGGACACAGGACCGGAGCAGAACGCCGCAGGAGAGCATGGAGATGAGAAGAAGAGCGCATTCGCATAGCCATTCATATCATTACTGCATCGATACATGTGACGCATTTTGCCAGATCATATGTCATTCACTGTCATGCTAAGATGCACTTCCCTCCCTCCCGCGCTTCGGCCGTGCTGAATGGTGCATGCTATGTCTACTACTGCGGAATCTGCTCCTGCCCAAGCCCCTCAAGCTCCTTGAGGATGCCGTCAAGCGCCTCCTGGCGGATGGCCTCCTGGCGCTGCTGCCGCGCGTTGAGAGGGTAGCCGTACTTGAGCTCCTTGGGGGGAAGACCGTACTCTGGTACAGGCTCCCCGCGGGCCTGCTGATACGCCTCAGCGATGTACTCAGCCTCGTCCTCGGACCACTGCGCGCGAACGAGCGACGCAGCCACCACGTCCTTGTCAGACAACTTGTGCTCGGACAAGTACTGGCGGAGGGTGAAATTGTCGCGGGTGACCGGGTGGAGGACGTCGCCCTGCTTGACAAGGAGGAAGACGAAGCGGTGTTTGCCCGACCCCTTGGCGGGCGCAATAGGCTCGTACGCGAGCAGCTCGGTGCCGGGAGCAGCCATCAGGTCGGTTGCGCCGGAGAGGACGGAGAGTGTGATGTCAGTCTTGGCGTAGTGCACGCGCTGGGTGAACGTGTGGTTCTCGTGATCCGGGGAGTCGGGGTCAACGACGAGCAAAGTGTACTTCGCCTCGGGGTTGGGGTGGGCAGCCGATGGCGTCGTGGGGTGATCGAAGAGCTGGACGTGGACGCGCGGTGCCTCCTTGAGGCTGGATGGGGGGAGGATATTGCCAGCCTCGATAGCTTCGCCAGATCCAGCGGAGACGGTCATGTCCGCTGTGGGGAGGATGTCGGGAAGCATGTCGGGAACAACGCCAAGCTGGAAGAGGCGCTGCATAAGCAGATCCAGCCCGCCGTCGCGCCGCCACGCACGCTGTGCCAGCTCGCGCATGACCGCCCGGTCCATACTTCCGACGCCGGCTGTGGACGCAAACAGCCGCCGCGTCGCTGGGTCGTTGATCTCGGCATTCACGGACAGAACGCGTATCCGCTCAACCTGTTCGGGAGTGGGGTGTTCTCCTGCCTCGGCCTGCGCCTTCTCGAGCTGAGCGCGCACGCGCGCCGCATCCGCCGCAATGTACTCGAGGGCGAGGTCGTACGCTGGCTCCTGGCCACGGGGGAGGGCAGGCTCAAAGGCCATAGTCGACTCGGCGCGCGCAAAGACGCGGAGGGGGCGAGAGGGGCCAGCAAACCTGGACGCCCTGGAGAGAATCCTTGAGGCCATGATGGAGGAGCTGGATGCCGAGGACGTCGAACTCGATGCGATGGATGATGTTGCGTGCGGTCTGATGCGGCGGAAGAAAACGCCCAACTTTTGGAGAGAGGGGCGGAAACGGAAGTATATCCACGCGAGGGAGGCAAAAGTGATGACGCCCGCGAGGCCAATGTCTACTCTACTACTGGACTGGAGCTCTCCACTTGCTGCTTACCCCACGCCACCTCGCCCTCTTCCTCCATCATCCATCACTCTCTTATCAGCCCACGCAGTCCAATCGATACACTCACTTGCATCGTCTTCATCCCCTCCGTCGCTTATCACGCCTAGCTCTTCACCCCCTCCGTTCATCGTCTCCCTTCGCACGCCCCGCCGTCGACTCGCGGACCGTCATGAACCCTCCCCGCGACGGCGACAAGGCACCTTCCCCCGCTCTGAATTTGAAGCGCCCCCCTCCATCTCCGTCCAGCTCGTCCTCCCCCAAGCGCGCTGCCTCCGAGGACCCCCTTTCCCTCTCCGTCGACCACCCCCATCCTTCCGCTCTTCCATCTAGCCCCTTAGCAATGGACATCGACGACACTGAGAGCACGGGGTGGGTCGACCGCACTAGCCAGGTTTCCATCGCCGACGAGCGCTGCAAAGATGTTCAAGGCACTGTGATGGGTACGCGTGTGCGATTACTTCTTTGCTGACGGCAGCGTCGGGATCACCGCCGTTCACTCCCGGATCGACATACTACCTCATCACGAAGAGCTTTTTCCAGGCGCTCACAATATATGCGTGCTCGGGAGAGGGCTCACCCCCGCAGCCCGACTTTGAGAATCTCGCTCAAGGAGCACCGGCAGAGCTCTGGGCGCCAGGACGTGATGGCAAGGCAACGCGTCAGGCCTTCTGGCAGGTCCGCGATGGGCTCGAGGAGGACGTAGACTTCATGTTCACCGGTGTGGATGGTTGGGATTCGCTCACGGCCCTGACGCGCAAGAGCGAACCGGCCTTCCCGCGCGTCTGCATGCCCAGCGGTATCGTAGAGGTGTCTCCGAACATTTACCGTCTGCATGTGGTCACCGAGACACCCTCACTCCCAGTGCCCCCCGCCGCTCCCCCAGCTCCTATCCTCTTCACGCTTCCACGGTCCAGCACAGTTGTGCAGCTCAAGGAGTTCCTGCGCACCGTGCTCTCTGACCGCATGAGCCCCGGGGCTCCCCTCCGCGTGTTCTCTCTCGACTGCGCTGAGAATCCCATCAGCCTCGATGTCGACGTTAAAGATCTTGCCGACCTAGGGGGCAAACTGCTGAATGGCAACACAGACACGATCGAGACTTTGGGCTTTGCCAACAACGACTCTCTTGTCGTCGAGATCGGCAACCCCAGGTTTGCGGTCGAGATTGACATGGCCACGCAGAAGGCTATCAACGTAGGTGGACCAGCTCCGCTGTTCTCTAAGCCCGCGTTTTTCCCTGGGAGGGGAAGCTCCAGCGATTCCTCGTCCAGCTCGACCCACCATCTCTCTCTCGCCAATGCAAAGGGGCCGATGATGACGCGCTCACAAGCTCGGGGCAAGAGTGGCGGCAAGGGACTCGTCGGGCTGAGCAATCTGGGCAACACGTGCTTCCTTGCGTCCGCCACCCAGTGTCTTAGCAACACCCACGTCCTCGTCGACTACTTCCTCAGTGAGACAAAGGCATCCGTGTGGCCACATGCTGACAGTTAGCCGACGTGTACAAGGAGGAGCTAAACCCCGATAACCCGCTTGGCATGAATGGTCACGTTGCCGAGGCTTTCGGCGACACTGTCCAGAACCTCTGGGAGTCGCCATCCTTCTCCTCATATGCGCCAAGGAGGTTGAAGGGCACATGCTCGCGCTTTGCGCCTCAGTTTGCCGGGTACGGACAGCACGATACGCAGGAGTTCCTCGCCTTCCTTCTGGACGGGTTGCACGAGGACTTGAACCGCATCAAGAAGAAGCCCTACATTGAGAAGCCCGACTGGAAAGCCGGCGGCGGTGAGCGCGAGCTGGCCGAGCTCGGCAGAGAGTGCTGGGACGGGTACAAGAAGCGGAACGACTCCGTCATTGTCGACCTCTTCCAGGGTCAGCTCCAGAGCACACTTGTGTGCCCCGACTGCCACAAGGAGAGCATCACCATGGACCCGTTCATGTATCTCACCGTCCCGCTCCCTATTTCGCAAACTCGCACTGTCAAGGTGATCTTCTTCCCGAACAACACCGACAAGGCCCCTCTAAACGTCCACATGCTTCTGCCTGCTAATGCGTCTTTTGCGATGCTCAAGGATAAGCTCGGCCGGCTCACGGGTGCCCAGGCCTCGAACATTGTAGGCTTTGATCTGTTTAAGAACTCCATCTACGCATGGTGGATGGACATCGACCCAATGACGACAATGACCGACAACGACATCGGTGTGTTCCACGAGGTCGGCGCCCCTGTGACCGCCACGGGGAAGGGCGTCGGCACGCTCCCCACTGATGAGTCCGTCACTGTCCCCGTGTACACCTTTGCGCCAGACGATCATCCACGCTCGTCTTACCAGCGCCCCGGCCAGATCCCAGAGCAAGGCAGCCTAGAGCCGTTCTTCATTACCTTGTCCAAGGCTGAGGCTGCCGACCCCAGTGCCGTGCGGGAGGCGATCATGCGCGGCTACTCGCGTCTGGTGAGGCCCGAGAAGGCGAACGACCTTTGGGTCCTCTCGAACGACCCGCACGCCAAGGTGCTCCTGGACGACGAAGAAACCGTAGCCGACACCCGCGTTGACTCTTCTCCCGCCTCGACGCACGAAGCAACTCTCGCTCCGCCTCCAGACATTCCCCGCTCAAGCAGCCCCATGTCGGTCGTAAGCACATCACCGAGCCAGCCTGGTCGGCTTGTCACCCGCGGTGATCTGTTCAAGGTCTTCGTGGCGGACGCCTCGTCTTCTGAAAGCTCATCAACGGGCTTCTTCACCAAAAAGGACCCGGCTGTGAACATGTTCTACCGGGCCTCACCATCGAGGGCGTCAACATCATGGTCGGGACTGGAGAAGAGGGCGCGTGCGAAGCGGCCGTTCTTCAAGCGTGTCTCATCAGGAATCTTCGGGAGCGCTGCCAACTCTGAGGATGAGTCCGAGGACTCGACGGGCTCTCACCCTTGCGTGCGGAAGGGCGAGGGCATCTTCGTGCAGTGGAAGCAAGACGACTTCGACGAATTCTTCGAGAGGGATCGTGAAAGCCTTGCCAAGCAGCTCGAGGTCGTCATTGATCCCGAGATTGCAAAGGACAAGGAGAAGAAGAAGGCAGGGCGGGCGATCACTCTAGACGACTGTTTGGATGAGTTCTCTAAGCAGGAAACTCTGGGGCAGAACGACGAGTGGTACTGTCCTGTGTGCAAGAAGCACGTGCAGGCCACTAAGAAGCTGGATATATACAAGGCGCCCGACATCCTCGTCATCTGCCTGAAGCGCTTCGGCTCGGCGCGCAACTTGCGTGACAAGCTTGACCACCTGGTGCAATATCCGCTCGAAGGTCTCAATCTTGATGAGCGTATTGTGGAGCGGCGGATCACGCAGAGCCTCAAGCTTTCGGACGAGGAAGCCAAGCACTTTGGCATTGAGCACAGTACGGAGCCGTTCATTTACGACCTGTATGCCGTGGACAACCACTTTGGCGGCCTAGGCGGCGGGCACTACACCGCGTTCTGTCAGAACAAGATCGACAAGCACTGGTACAACTATGACGACAGCCGCGTGTCCAAGGCCAGTCCAGATGCGGTGAAGAACAACCGGGCGGCGTACCTCCTCTTCTACAAACGGCGTACGGCTCGGCGTATCGGCGGTATCTCGAGACTGAAGGCCGAGGAGGCGAGCCGCACCGCTACTCCCATGACTTCGATGCCTGGGTCACCGAACATAGCCCCAAGCGTACCCGCGAGCGCAATGGCGAGCAACATGCCCTCGGGGTCGGGCACCCCGAACGAAACGTCACCCGTGGTTAGCGATGACAGCTCGAGCGACTCGGACGACGACCGCGCACTGAGCGGCAGGGCGCCCCGTCAACCCCTCGTGTTGAGCCCTGCGGTCAAGTCAGCGATTGGCTTTGGAAACGTGGCGTGGTCGCGCGGGACTGGCGTTCAGCACAGCTTCGGGCAGGGCCCGCCGACGCCTGATGGGTCTGATGATGGCGATGAGTTCATTGAGGTGGCCGCGCCTGCGCCAAGTGCGCCTAGTACATCGGGCGAGAGCGGACTGGGCGGGACGTACGCCGTCGTGCCATCTCAGGCCAGCGAGAGCGATGCCGAGATGATCTCGATGCCGCGCTCTCCTGAGAGCGCCGCGTGAGGCCGTGCATAAGATGGCAGACAACAATGCAAGTATAAGTCTTCTATAATCTATCATGAGCGGGCAACCTCTTCACCGGGGTTGGACGGCGTGCCGGCGGAGACAACGTCCTTCCTCGGCAACCCGACAACGACACCCGCGTCAAGGATGCTCTTAACGGCGTCGACTTTCGGTCCTGAGTTTGTTCTGCAGTCAGCTTGAGCCAGACATCGCGCGCTCACGTCAAGTAGTCGTCGAGGAAGGCGCGAAGCACGGGGCCTGCTACGCGCTCCATCTTCTGGACACCGTCGAGGTCGTCGGCGCGCGACGGGCCGAGCGAGATCATGAACACGGGCTTGCCCTGCTCTCGTGCAGCCTTGATCAACCTGAAGGCCGAGTATGTGGCGAGCGTAGTTCCCATAATGAGAAGAGAAGACGCTGCCTCCACCAATTCAAAGCTGGCATTTAGCTTTACGGCAATCAAAATAGCACGCACGACTTGTCCCGTACCGCCGGCGGCAGCGTCTCTCCGAAGAAGATCACGTTGGGCTTCACCTGGTGTCAGCGGGTCCGGTGCGCGAGCTCACGATCGACTTCTCCGTTCCCTCAGCAACGCACAGCGCGCACGCCGGCACGTTGAATTTGTTGTAGTCTGCGCCGGGCAGCTCGACGTCTCCGTCGGGGTTGGTCCGCGGCATACTGGTTTCAGCTCGGCGCCTGCACTAACCCACTTCCCCGTTTCAGCAGCCCACGCGGCCTCAGCCGCCCAGATGGGATTGCGCGCCGCCAACTGGTCCTGCCAGTCGTCGCGCGACTGCTCGTGCCCCTCGTGCCCGTGCCGGAGGCAGTGGACGCGCGCGAGCGTCCCGTGCAGCTCGAGGATGGGGGTGACTGCGCTCCCGATCGACGTGGGGGCCGGCATCGACGCCGGGTCGGACATGGACGAGCCGAGACGCAGGGGCGGGCGCAGCGCCGCACTCGGCTCGACGCCGTGCCGCCGCATGGCGTCGTGCACGATCCGCAGCGCCTTGCGGTGCAAGTTGTCCACGTTCTGCGTGATGAGGCCCGGCGCAAGCCCCAGCGCTTGCAGCGCCGCGATGTAGATGTGCGTCGGGTTCGGCTTTGCGTCGCGCACGGGCGGATACTGCGTGTAAGCGGGCTGGAGCGGGATCTGGAGATGGAGAGATGCGCAGTGCAGTGACTCACACCCAGGAAGGAGCGGCCCCAATCTGACGTCAGCTGGCGTCCACTGCTGCGCAGCGCAACTTACATCGCTTCCTGCTGTCAGCCGGCCACCTGCCATCAGCAGCCCAGCTTACCTGAACAGCTCGCCGCGCGGCGAGTCCTCGATGAGCTCGGAGTAAAAGATGGGTCTGGGTGAGCGTTAGTCAAAACGAGGGGGAACCTTGAAGCAGGCGAGAGCTCCACGCTCTGTCCTCTCGGGACTGCTGCCTCATTCCCTCTGACTGGTCGCGCAACTCACGAGTAGTTGGGATTCAAGTATCGCCCCTCTTCGCCACGGTAGGCTCTGATCCCGCTGTCAACGCTCACGCCAGCGCCTGTGATCGCCAGTGTGCGGCCCTTGCCCCGTTCCAGGAAGGAGGCGAGGTGCTCGCCGGCTGCGGGGAGGGGGAGAAGGTCCAGAGCGCTGGGAGGCCGGGGTGGCCTCACGGGGATGGAGGGGATGGATAGGCGGACCATTACGACTGTCGAGGAGAGGATGAGAAAGTCGAAATGTGGATGAACAGAGGGGCAGATTGCAGCGTAAAGGTGGAGCGATTACTCAAGCGTCACCGACTTTCCAGTGGAGCGGAAGCGCAGCGGAGAGGGAGAGCACGTGACGTGATCGAGGGGATCGCTCGATCACTCTCGATCCAAACAACCACTCCTCAGTGGCAATGCGGGAAGCAAGATGGCCAAATAGGGGTACACGTCTGAAAGCCTAGTTTGCTCATGTTTTCCATGTTGCGCTAATGTTCTCATGTCCGATATGGACTTAACAGGATCAGCGACATGCGCAATGTAGCTCAAGCCCTCCTCCGCCTCTTCTCTTCACCTCTCGGGCGTTCGTATATTTGCATTGAGCACAGGCTGAGACACCTCCGCCTTAATCCCTACACAAAAAAGCGCATGTACACTACTGCTATACCTACGTCTATACATTCAGATTCAATTGCGGTCGGTATCCGGTGGTGTTATGTGATGGATCGGTATTGTACATTTGATTCGGTCTTGATTGATAGTGGCACTGCGTGCGTGTTGGACATGTGATAGATATGATGTTGGCCTAATCGCCCATGATCACGTCACCCTCGCCGTCGAGCCCGGCCGGCGGGGTTGTTGTAGACGACGGTTCGGGCATTGGCGAACCGGTGAGAATCGAGTTCAGCCACTCCTGAGCTTCGGGGTTGAGCGCCGGCCCACCGTTCCAGGAGCGCTGGATGACGGGGTGGGCCATAATCTGCTGGATCGTCGGACGCTTGTCGGGATCCGAGTTGAGAAGGGTGAAAATGAAATCGGTGAGCTGCGGGCTGACCATGGACATGTCGAGGAAACCGAAGTTGTCGTGGCGGAGCGCTGTCCAGCTCTCACCACCCGATGGAAGGTAAATGTTCATGGCCGTCTCGAGGAGAATGAGGCCGAAGCTAGTTGTCAGCTGACAGTCAATACGCCAAAGCTTACCTGAAAATGTCGGCTGGCATGACAAACTTGCCGTGCAGCATCTCAGGAGGCATGTACGTGTGATCGCCCTCGCGGTGGAGCTTCTCCTGTGTGACATCGCCAATGGAGCCTCCCAGCTGGGAGCCCTCAACAATCTCAGCGGGCGAAATACGCGGCCAGCGCGTGGCGAAGCCAAAGTCCGCAATCTTGAGACAGCGCCCACCGCATACGAGAATGTTGTCCGGCTTGAGATCAAAGTGGATGACACCATGCTCATGCATGTGGCGGATGCCATCACCGATGTCGCGGGCAATTTTCCACACGAAGCTCTCGTGAAGGTGCTCGTTCTGCTGCCCGTAGATTTCGAGGAAGGCGGCGAGCGAGCCGGCGCACTCCTCAGTCTGAATGTAGAGCTGTCTGTTCTGCTCCCAGGCGTCAACAAACTTCAGGACGTGGTCGTTGGGTGTCTTCGACAGATGGCGGAGAATATCGACCTCTTCAAGGTGTCGTAGACTGCTATCAGCCAAAGCGCATGCGGAAAAGAGGCCAACAGTACTCACCGATCTTTGACGCCGTCAAACACGCCGCGGGTGATCTTCACAGCAAAGGTCCCGGAGCCATCGCGCGCCTCAGCCTTGATAACAGTAGAGAAGGCACCTCGCCCAATCGGGCCGAGGGGAATGAAGCGCGAGTTGAAGATATCTTGCTCTTCTTCAGGGAGCTCGACGGGCTCAAGGGGCATAGACTGTCTATGTGCGCGTCGCCGTTCAGCCTTGGTCTGTTGCTTCTCCGTTGTGGGAAGGGAGAGACGGGGAACTGCAACACTGCTGAGGGCGTTGAGCGACCGCGAAAGGTTTGTGGGGCGGCCGGGGCTCGGGGTAGGCGTCTTGAGACTTGACACGGCAGTAAGGACAGTAGCGATGCCGCCGCCCTTGGTTGGGGTGATCTCGTCTTCGCTGATCTCCATAGTAGAGGAGCTGGTCGTGCGAAGGAGGCTCATGCGACCGCCACCAGGAACCAGTCGCTTGCTGGAGCCAAGGTTCATGGTGGGGCTTGAGCCTTCGTTCATAATGCTGTCGGGAGACGAGGTCGTGGTAACGGTCAGGTGGGGTACATCGGCGCTGAGCTTGCGCATCGATGGTGGGGCCTTCCGGGTCGACTGAGGAGGTAGAGTCAACTTGGGCGCGAAGACGTGGTCCGAGTCCAATCCCGAGCCCAGCGCTGGCTGCGAGACTGACATGGCAATGCGGCCTGAAGAGCGGGGGTGGGCAAATGCGTGCCGCTTGACGGGCGTGTTCGGCATCATGGGCTTGTCGTCCGTGTGGAAGCCAAAGTTGGACACACGATCAACCACAAAGTCATACTTGCTGGCGAGCGAATCCTTGGGCGCCTCGATACCCAGTCCTGTTGGGCGGTGGCCAAGCGATCTGGCTCTCTTCACACTGGGGCCCGGAAGCGTGCCGAGACGGAGCACGGATGGAGGGCAAATGGGACGCTCGCCTTCATTGGAGCTTGTTGAATCGCGACCCTTGAACTTCTGCTTAATACCTACTGCCGCGTCGAAAATCTCTGGGTTTGGCTTCACGTTGTCAAAGTTGTGCTTGGTGGTCTCAAACACGGGTTCCTCCGGCAGAGGGGGTGTGAGACCGCTGCTAGCTATAGATGATAGAGACGAGTTGGAGCCCATCTCTGATCGCCGGGGCCTTGGAGAGTGCAGCGGGAGGGCAAGGCCAGACTTTTGTCCCATCGAGCGCGCGATGGGAGCCTCGCGACGGTGTGCGCCCCCGCGGGTGGGGTGGTTGGGCATAGACGAGCGAGGCTTGCGACCGTGGAGGAAGGCAGACTCGAACCCGTCATTGCCGAGCTTGTCGGTCTGCATGTCGCCCAGCGAGACAGCCTTCTTCTGAGACGAGAGACTGTTGAGCTTTTGCGGCCTGACACTGCTTGTCGTTCGCGGCAGGTTGGATCGGCGGACGTTTCTTGGGTTGAGATCGCCCGACTGGGATGCGCGGATAGCCTGGAACAGAGGAGGGGCCGGCACAGGCGTCACCGACTTGCCAAACGTGGGAGACGATCCTCGGTCGCTAAACAACGACTTGCCAGGCTGAATGCGATCGATCTCTGGCGAGAACAAGTCGTCACCACTGCTACTCCTGTCCTTGGGGGGACCGGCTGCGGCTGCGAGGGAGCGAGAGGCGGCCATGGACCGCATACGACCTGGGACGCCACGAATGGGGCTCTCCTGAGTGTCTGGTATCCGCATCTTGCGCGAGGACATATAGCCTGGAGTTGGTGAGTCGCCTAGGGAAGGTGAGGACGAGTTGTCACTGCTGGTGTGCCGATTTGGCGTCTGCTCAAGCAGAGGTGGGCGAGGAGAGAGGTCAAAGTCGTGGTGGCGCGGGGAGGGGGAGGGAGAGAGCTTGTGCTTGCCCTTGATGGCCGAGTGGGGTGAGCGGAAGCTCGTTGGCGGCCGGTTCGTAAGGAAAGGGCTGTCGTCTGTTGGTGTGCCCATGGCGGCCAGCGCGGTGGTGGGGAGGGGATGTGACTGTGTCCACACCTGGGTGCGCATCGTTCGTGAAGGCCGTGGAAAGGTGGTGGCGGAGAGTGACGAGTTTGGGAGATGGGCCATATCACACGGCAGCCGTAGTTTGAATGTTTGTGTCGCGCGGATGGGTCGCGACGCGATGTTGGCGTGTGTGTGTGTTGACAACAGAGGGGTGTGTATGGGGAAGGTTGACGTCGGATGAGTCAACGCGTGCTCATGGACGCGGGGACGCGTGGACGGGGGCTGTGTGTCGAGGACGAGGATGGAGAGGAAGCGACCGAGTGGCAATTGACGAGGTCTGTGATCGAGGGATGGATGGGTGGAAGCAGTGGGCCAAGAATGCGAAGAGCAGTGTCGGCGCGGTGCGTGTTTGGGATGGGAGGGCAGTGGGAGAGAGAGCAAGCGGTGAATGTGGAAGTGAATTGAGAGATACTTGAAGATGGGCAAAGGTTACTCGAGATGAAAGATGAAGAGGAGAGGTGATGGATTGATGGAAAGAGATCAAGAGAGTAGTAGTAACGATGATGAAGAAGAAGAAGAGGAGAAGAGACGATGAGAGAGGAGTAAGTGAATGGATGGATTGAAGGGGGAATGAAGGGAAAGGGGGAAAAGCAAGGGCTGATCCCACGTACCCACTCTCATCCCACTCACCCTGCGTGGCCTGTGCACTTTGTCTTCCCTGTTTGGCCCAAGACACCGCGACTGCTTTGTCACTTACGTAAATATGCCCCCCTCCTTCTAAAGTCACACACGTGCAAGGCACCATACTTGACTTGTCCCATCAGTTGAAATAAATCATTCTCGCTGCGTCACCCCTCTCTCATCGCCTCTCAACGTTCGCGGTAACTGCAACCCCACTCTCTCGGTCCCTCGGCCCCTCACACCCTCGGCACGCATGCGTCAGCGTCCAAACCTTGTCCCCGCACCCCGCAGGCGCGTGGAGCCCGAGACTCGACAACGTGTTGTGGAGGGGAGTGGCGAATAATGAAATCACTCCGCCGCCCTGGGCGGATGAAACCTCGACATGGGATGCAGATCTCATGCCCTGCTCGTTCACCTTTTGACATGGCCGTTGCATGGCGCAGCACCCTACGCTCGGTGTCATGCTCATTTCCTCTCTCGACACTCTGCTGAGACGCTGTTTGTGGCACTCTTCTGGGGCTGAACGCTTCTGACGTTCGCAGACTGACATACCTGCATTCGCAAACTCACAGAGTAAGTCAGCTTGCAGAAGATTTGATACGTTGCTACGCCACAATCCCCAGCACTGGGCGTCTGCCCAAGTTTCTCCTCGGTATAACGCGAGTTCAACGAGTGCTGTATTAACACGACCCAGCCAGACTGCCTAGCTTGGCTGCCGATCTCCACAGCCTCTTATCGTCGATTGAAAGACGCGGGCCGGACCACAAATTGCGGGAAAGTCGTCTGACAACAAGCTCACATGACTCGCGTATAAGCTCGAGTGGCTGCCAGATTCGCCTCGCACTGAATCGGTGCTCCCACGCCATTACTATGAATGACGGAGTGGCGCACGGACTGGATGCACGCCGTCCTGGCCATGTTCGTCTCGGCTGGGGAAGTCGGAACTCAACTTGGAATGCCTTTGTCAACTGGATTGCATGGACGTCGTCGGTCCGTGCAATCCGGGCCTTGAGTTCACCATACCTTCGACCATCACATGGAAGACTGATAGGAGGATTGGACTCGACCTTGATCTTGATAGCGGCCAAGTGTCGGGCCGAGGAAAACCAGCCGCGTCGCGAGCGTGACTGTCACTCTGTCTTGGTCACGAGTTCATGTCGTACATGAGCAGGGACTAATATGAGCTGGAGCGGTGACGGCGGGATGGACGGTCACCCGGCAGGGCCGACATGAGCATGAGTCATGTGCACAATTCATGATGTGAGAAGGCAGGGCGGCGATCCGGGCGAGGGAAAGTGTCGCGGACTTGGGGACTACAGTTCACGAGGACTGTCGGTGCGGCGAGGGTACGTGCGCTGCGGTGCGGGGAACGGGGCCATGCTAACATGTGGGACAGGCTGGTCGTGCGCGGAGACAATGGCATGCATGGAGTGGGGGGAGACGGAGGCGAGGCAAAGTGTCTGTGTGCCGGCGTCTGCAGTGCATTGTGATGTGGTCGAGTTGGCGTCTGGCTCTGGCGTTTTCGCTCTCGCTCTCAAGGGCGTGGGGAGTGGGACATCTACCATACCGCTCAAGCTTTGGCTTTGCACATCGACAAAAGAGGCTGAGCGTGGCCAGGAGACAAGCTGGAGACTTCGAGAAACTGCTAACATGGGCTTGCATGAAGCAATTCATTGCCGCCGATTGAATCTACGAGACCATGACAGTCAAGTGAATGCCATGCCATGCCATGACATGCCATGAGCACGGGACATTGCCGATCATAGCTGGGAAGGCGACTAACGGCTGTGCACTGCACCAGTCGGACTATCCTAGACCACGAAGAATACCTTCCAAGAAACATGCATCAACGGATCCCAACAACAGCCGTTCCTATTCTACACGCGTACATTGGGTTGGATTGGTCCTCAGTAAGGAGGACTGCGGCTCTATCGACTACAGAGCAGAAGCACATGCGCGCGCCTCAACTGTCAGGCGCCGCACTTAGTCATCGCTGGTGTTGTTAAGCTAATGTCAGCTTTCCTGCCGCCTATAGGAGCTCACAATGCGCAGGATGTAGAGGAAGAGGTTGAGGAAATCGAGGTAAAGATTTAGCGCACCGAGGATGGCCTCGTCTACGCTGAGACGCTTCATGATGTTTTGCGTGTCGTACAGCACAAAGCCGGAGAAGATGAGCACGCCGATGCACGCAATGACGAGGTCTGTGGTCTTGCCGAACGGCAGGAAGATGCCGACGACGCCAGCGGTGATCAGACCCATGACGCCAGCAAAGAGGAAGGGACCGAACGACGAGAAGTCAAGCTTGGTCTGGAACGTGAAGAGCGTGAGGCCGACGAACACGCCTGTAGTAATCAAGAGGGCTTGAAGAACCTGCGGGTCAGCTGCCGCCTTCGACGTGCAGAACTCACAACCTTAGCGTCGTAGAACGAACACGTCGTGCCGATCATGATGCTCTCAAAGAACGTGAAGGCGGTCAAGACGAGCATGTTGGCCGGGTAGTTGTGGCGCTTCCAGTAGACACCGAAGAGAGAGATAAAGGAGCAGATTACCGAGACAAGGATAATCCACGGGTTGTCCTGCACAAACGCTGCGGGACCGGGGAACATGAGAGCGCCGGAAACGACAGCAGTGAGGCCGAGCTGGCAAAGGAGGATAGCGTAGACCTTGCGGAGGAATGCGCGGCGAATAGCCTCGTCACAATCAGCAACAACAACGCCGATCTTGAAGTCGTCCGGCAGGTCGTCCTCGGCGGGCTGGTCCATCCAGGCATTGCGGCTGCTGCCGGCCTGCGCGGCGAGCGCGGCCGCGGCAAAGTCGTCGGCACCGATGCCTGCCATGCCCTTCTTCTTCTGGGGGGAGGCGGACGACTCGCCAAGAAGCGGGGAGGACGCGCTGGCGTCCTCACCGCCATTCGTTGCGCCGTAGGCGGTGTACTTTGGTGGGGAGCTCATAGTGTGGGAGATGGGGAGATGGAGATTGAACAAGATGATGAAGATTGCGTCGTCTCGGGTGGCAAAGTCATCTCACTACGTCACTTGCTGCTGCCGCGCTGCGTAACCGAACTGCCACACTCTATATTGCCGGCGGCGATTGCCACGCGGCTGATTACCCAATTATCCTGGAAGGATCCGGAAGCTCCAGTGGCGATGTGCCGTGCACACTCCAAGGTGGCGTTTATCCCGATGGCTGAGGCCTGCGATGGCGACGACAGCACTTTGGTTCTTCTCATCATCTCTCACAGTTCGTCTTCGACACGCTCGCCGTGCGCGCCGCACCCATCATGAGTACCGCAATGGACATCGACACTCCGTGGATGTTCAACTCGCCCGCCAAGCCCACCCACAACTCCATCCCCGCCCTCGCCCTCGCACGCGCCGGCGGCCCGGCGGGTACGACATATCTTTACCAGTTGGACGACGCCCCGGGCTCAGCCCCGGGGTACTGCTCAACGTCGGTTACCGGGGGAAAGCGTTGGGTTTGAGGCGGGCGGGGGGAAGGACGGTGCCCTCCTCCCGCCGACATCAGTTGCCACCTACCCCACACCCCCGTCGAGTCTGTCGGCCAAGTACCGCGTCCCCGCGCCACCGCCGCCGCCGCCAAGCCACTCGACGTACCCCCTCACCCCCTCCTCCATCACGTCCACCCTCGCATCAAACCTCTACCGCCCCGCCCCGACTCATGATCTCACATGCTCCTTATCGCGCTCGGCCTCGAGCGCGTCCGCTCGCTCCACCTCGTCCTCCTCGTCGTCATCTTCGTCGTCGTCGGACATCGCCGCGCGCTGTGGTCCCGTCCTGCCACTCATTCATGACGTGTTCCCCGCCACAGCGTCAGAGGTTGCCTCCGTCTCGCACATGCTTGAAATCGTCACGCCCCCCAATCATGTCCTGCACGGTTTTATCGCTGATGAGCCGACGCTTGGCCGCGTCGTGTTCGTCCACCTCCCTCCAACACACGCGAGCGCGCCCACCCGGCCCGAGGTCCTCACACCCGGCTTCTCCAATGTCCTTCGCCGTGACGGGCCAACATATTCGTCCACGACACCCGTGCCGCCGGCTGGTCCCGTCGCGCTCGACATCCGCGAGAGCTTGACTGCACTTTTGGACCTCGCGGACGAGATCGAGGGTGCGCAGCTTGTGCTCATCCTCGATAAGGACGAGCGTGAGCCTGCACCCCTCGCAGAGCTCATGCACGCGCTCATGTACGTCGGCGGTCAGCCTGTTCGTCCTGGCGCGCTGGTAGGCGAGTGGGAGTGGGACGCGCGCCGCTGGGCGCTTGTGTCCATTGAACTGTAGACGTGAGCCAGCTCCAACTCTCCTTTCCCTCCTTGCATTCCCGCGAAGCCGTTCGCACTTAATCTCATCCGGCAAGAGCCGGCTCTTACGCTGTGTAAGACTGTTGTAGCGCTAAGAAGATATACGATATGCATAGTACCACGCAACTCACCACAGCCAGGCAGGTCAAAGCAATTGTGCTCATCACCCCTTGCGCATCATCCCTTGGTTACGTCCACGCCCTCTATCGGTGACACGTCTGACAACTGACCATCACTCAGTCATGTTTAAGCCAGCCGGCAGCGTGGCGGACAGTACCTCGGACCTCGTGAGTCCCTCCTCGGCAGCGCTAAATAAGTGCGACCTCAGCGACGCCGACACGGACACACCTCTTCTTCACGACCAACCCATCACGCCACTCACACCACACTTCCACCCCCACCCGTTCCGCGACGCCCCCCTCATCACAGTCACCGACACGTCGACGACCTACGCGGATGCGCCGAGCAAGCGCTTTCCAAAGTCTAACAAACGCCTCATACTCCCCCTGCCACGCAAAGCGCCTTCTCGCGGAGCCTGGCGGCGTGCGCGGCGACACAACAGAGTGATGCGCGAAGTCATCCGCCTTCGGAACGCGCGCTTTGAGTCGTGGGCGGTGAGTTTACAAGTGTGATAGCCACATCTCGCCTAGACACGCCGGGCCGCAAACTGATGGCAGACCATGGGTATCCGTCTGATGGCGCGCGACGCAGCGCTGGTGGATGAGCTCCGCACCTCGGTGCAGAAAATGGAACGGATTGCAGCTGAGCGTGGGGTACTGGATTCACACAGCATGACCAGGATAGGGTCATGACATTGGTTTGGAATGAATCAGTTCACATTTCAATGACCGAATTGACGGGGCGACGAGTGGTTGAGTCACACATCGCTGCCTATAATAGACCTTCCTCGCTCGTCTTGACCTTGTTTTCTTGCCATTGCTCATTCCTCCTCGCCATTCATTTGCCCAATGACTCGCCGCCTTCGAGCTTCACCCGATCCATACTCCCAGGACGGCGAAGGTGGCATGACCGACAGCGAGAAACGTGCGGGACCCGAGAAGATTGCCAGGAGTGGTGTGCGCGCAGTTAGTGAGGATCCTTGGGTGAGACAAAGTGCCGAGCAGGCTTACACTAGATTTCCGCGGCCGAGGAGGGCCCAAGGCACATCCTGTCGCCCGACGCGGCGCCGCTCATGCGTTCTCACTCATCACCATGGCCGTGGTCTGAGTCATCGCCTTGGTCGTGGTCGCAATATATCGTCCCTCGCCGTCAGGGTATCAAGGTGAGTAATCGTTCTGTCTCTCCGACTCCTCACTGGTGTGACAAGTCACCTTCCTTCCGCAAAGCTTCACTGACACGGCAGCGTCGCCTGTCAAGCCCGGCGATCCTTGTCCACGACCCCGACAAGCCCAAACTCAACGCGAATGACCTCCGGTTTCTCCAGGACCTTCTAAAGACTCTCCAGTCACTGAGAAGGGACCTCAAGAATCCCGATGTACGCTATCCCATGTCTTGATCATCTAACCGCAGTCTGATGGCGACCTGTCCGATCCAGTGCGATGCACGCTAGATAATGCTGACTGAAGGGTAGCGACTGGACGCCGACACCCCCGGATAGCCCCGATCCCAATGCCGAGAAGCCTTCGTTTCGCTGCAGGGTTCAAGTTCGAGCTCTCAGGTCGCTGATGTACGATGAGTGGGAGACGGCGCGTGAAAGCCTCGACGATATGCTGTCCCAGGGGGAAATCAGCATTGTGCGTCGACGAACCACTGCTGCGGGGCTAATTTCAGGCGGAGTATGCGTGGTGGTACAATCGGTTGGAGTTTGAGGCGCATACTGTGAGCTACATGTACGGTGCCTAGTGTTTGGCGTGCATAGTCTGTGGCGTGTAGATGCATATGTAGAGAGAGAAATATATATATATATACGAGTAGGTTGTTGCTGAGGAGTCGGCTAAGGCTTTGCTGAAATTGTCTGAGTTGCAGTGCGAACATGTGCAAAACAAGTGGACTGAGGTGTGCGCAGCCTATCGCTCGCGACACGGTCGCGAGCAGCACGCGCCACCTTCCGTCCACAGACACGAGATCACGGTGATCAGCGATCGAGCGATGGCATCAAACACGGTTGGTGGGTTGATTTGCCACAGAGCATACTCTACCAGACTTGGCCTTGGTCGTGTGTGTGTGTACAGCACCCTACATCTGAATGCTGAATGGGATTTAACATGTCTTTCCTTCCTTCAACCCACCTCATCTCTCCTTTCATCTGTGTCATGACCTCCTCGTCCTCCTCATTCTCCTCGTACTCCCAAGACGACCTCGAAGGTCCAGCTCCCCCCGCGGCCCCCACCACCGACCCCAACGCCCCCCTCCCGACGGTGGACGACCTGCTCGCTGTCGCGGACATCGCCCAGCAAATCATGCACGTCTGCGTGGAGATGCACGTACGTCGCCCCTTCCACCTCGCACCTTCTCTTCCCTTCCCGCTGACGGCAGACACCAACGACCTCTCAAAATGTACATGCCCCGCATCGCAGCTAACGCCAGACCGAGCGGGCGACCGCGCTCCTCCCGGGCATGTGGATGGCGCTCGAAAGCGTGATGGTGTTCGGCAAGCATCTTGCGCTGATGATGCACGAGAGGGGCGCGCTCGATGTTGTGAGTGAACCGCCGAGCACAGCTAACGCCAGGCCGCGTATGCGCAGTGGTGCGAGATGTTTGATTTCACTACGGCGTACGAGACGGTCGTCGTTTGCCAGCGGACGCCGACGCTGCATCCCACTCGGCAACGGCTTGCGCGGGAGGTCGCCACTCGTCCTTCGTCGCCGCGAAGCGGGTCTGAAGAGAGTACCAGTGATTACTAGTGTTGTGTGACTGCATGGTGTTATTCTTGTGCTTGGTTATGCTACTCCCTCTGGACCCCTCTGAGTGGGAGCGACCACTGGCCTCCTGAGGCGTGGTCAAACTGACGCAGGCTACGCAAGCGTCAGGGGAACCGCGAGGATGCGAGGAAGGTGTCAGCATGTGGCGCTCGCCATCAGCTAGGGTGATAGAATGTGAATGGCTCCCACTCGCACACTAAACAAAAGTGGCAGCCAGCACTTTTACAATGGGATGAATGATATAGGGCGACGGATTGATGTAAACAATGGGGTCCCCGCCTCCACCCGTACCTCACCTCCACTTCCGCTTCCACCTCCACTACTCAGCGTCGACTGCACACAACACACAACTCATCACCGCCGCTTCCTTACCCGCCGTCACAAAAGCAGCGGCCGCCCCCAAAAGAAGCGCGCCAGCCGAGACAGTGATTCGAACACTGGAACCTTTCGGTAGTTAGTCTACTAGATAGTAGCCAACCGCAATGACCACTATGCGACCTCGGCGGTGCTGATGGTAGGAGGGGTTCAGAAGCCGTTTTGAGCGCGTGGAGAATTTGGTACCCGCAGGCCAGGATGGCAGTGGACGGTCAGACGGTAGGCCGTAGATCGAGGGGGAAGATCGGAAAGAGGTGCGAGGGAGGAGGCGAGGGGAGATGATCGCAGACACTCACCGAACCAGTTTCTGCTCTCCACCCGGCTTTGCGATAGCACGCACCGCAAAGGCTGCACGTTGATGTGCATTATGCTCGTGTGCATGTGCATGGTCATGTATGCCCCCCCCCTCCCCCCCCTTTCTGCTGGCGAGCGCCATTGAAAGACACTTGGGATGGAGGGACGGCTGAGTCGCGGAGCTTGCGAGCTTCGTCAGACAGCTCGTGGACGCCGTTGAGTTGCCACTCGATCCAAGGGCGCAGGCGGAGGATGTGCAGATCGGCGGGCGCAGAGGGCGATGTGTGTGTGTGTGGAGTGTGGAGTGTGGTGTGAACGACCAGTGCGAAAAGCGAGGACCACGCCCCACGCCCTCTGCTTGGGCCCTGACCAAAATCCCGCCGTCGTACTCGTCCACGTCCACTGGCATACCAATTCGGCAGATCGATACATTACGGGCATTATGCTGTATGAATAATTTATCAGAGTCTACACATCTGGCCGGGGCGCTCTACTCGGCTGCGGCGCGGGTCTGGCGCACGCCGCGCCCGCGCCCGCGCTCCTCGTCTTCGCGGCGTGGCGTGCGTACAAGCCACACAGTCGCTTGGCCAACAAACACGAGCGACGCAGCCACGAGGAAGATGGTGGGCGCGTACGTCGCGACCGTCGCGGAGAAGATGGAGAAGAAGACCATGGGCGCGACGAGATTCGTGCCGATGGCATGCAGCACCGCCATGCCGCCGAAGAGGCGGCCGACGTCGTGCCGGTTCGGGAGGAAGCTGAGGGCGAGCGAGTTGGCGACGGGCGCGCTCGGCGTGCCGAGCGACGCGACGGTGCTGCCCGCCAAGAAGAGGGCGACGCTGTCCGCGCCGTTCAACCCCATCATGAGGTATCCGCACATGTCGAGGAAGAGGCAGACGCGCACGATCCAGAGGTCGAGCTTGGCGGAGCGTTTGGGTTTGGGCTTTGGCGCGTCCGAGGTGGCGGAGACGCCCGAGGCCGCGGACACGGACACGGCCGAGATGCCCGACGCGCCGGGGCTGCCATCGCGCGCCGAGAGCAGCGGCGTGCGTTCGGACGCTGCTTCGTCGAACGCCGGTTCGCGGAAGAAGGGCTTGACGGTGCGCAGGATGAGCGGGAGGATCACGAGGAGCACAAGCAGGCGGCACACGCTCATGTAGCTTAGGTACGGGCCGAGCTGGGCCGGCGACCACCCGAACGCCCAGAACGTGTAGTTTGCTTTGACGGCGACGGCGCCCTGGGGTTAGCGTCGGCCCGGGAGAAGGGCTATCGGCGAGAGCAGTGTGGCCGCACTGTTACCGGCGATTACGCACCATCATATTGGCAATGACAAAGTTAAGAACTCCCATGAGGAGGAGGTTGTAGTTCCTGCGCCCGTCCTCGTCCTTCTGTGGCCAGAACACGCCGAGGGGCTGGAGGGGGAGGACGGCGCGGCGGCCAATGCGGCGCGCAAAGCCCATGGCGCGGCGCGCGGTGCGGTTGCCACGCACGGGCGCCGCGATGCGGGAGAAGCTCGAGTCCCCGTCGTTGGGGACGCCATCGCCGTCGTGCTCCCACGCGCGCTCGACGGCGTCGCGCTCGCGCTGCGCCGCACTCGCGACCTTGGCGCGCTTGCGCAGGATGTCGCGCGAGTCGCTGCTCAAGCTCTCGGGGAGGAGGAAGCGGATGAGCACAACCCAGAGCGCATGCACCGTGATGGAGATGTAGAAGGGGGCGAGGAGCGAGCCGGTTGCGTTAATCAGCGCCGAGCCGAGCACGGGGCCGACGGCCATACCCGCCATAATCGCTGCGCCGAGGCGGGAGAACGCGGTCGCGCGCGAGCCGTCCGGCGTCACGTCGGAGATGTAGGCGTGCATCGCGGCCACGATCGTGCTGAAGCCGCCGAGGAGGCCGTCGATCGCCGGGCCGAGGAGCAGGATCCACAGGCGCGACTGCACGACGAGGCGCGGGTGCCGCGCGATCGTGAGGAAGCAGATGTCGTTCAGCAGCAAGCCTACTTCCGTGATGGCGAGCACGATGCGGCGCCCCCGGCGGTCAGAGTAGGCTGCCCAACAGCCCGTCGTGATCGCCGAGAGCAGGCCGGAGACGACGGCAATGACTGGTGTGAGCGGTGAGCGCCACAAGGGAGGGGACGTACTCTGCGTCAGGCGCGCCGACGCCTGCTGCACGCCCGCGTCGCGCTTGCACTGCGCCGGGTCGATTTCGGGGAACGGCGTGGGCCGCGGCTTGCCGGGCTCCGGGTCCGACGGGAGCGGGATGCTGCCGTCGCCGTCGCCGCCGCCGCCGCCCCCGTCGCGCCGGCCTTCGAGGTACGAGAATATGTCGTGCTGCGCCCACCGGAACCAGCGCTCGGCGGGGGTGAGGCCTGGCGCGGGCGCGGGCGTGTCCACAGCGGCGGCGGCGACGGAGAAATTGCCGTGCGCGTGCGCGACGACATCCGTCGGCCAGAGGGGCGTGGCGTCGAGCGCGGCGCCGCTGCTCTCGAGCGACACGGGGTATACGGACGCCGGGGTGCGCGGGGGATGCACGAGACACGCGAGGTCGAGGTAGAGCTCGGCGCGGACGGCGAGCGTCATGCCCAGCGAGAGGGTGACGCCGAGGACGAAGGGGAGGACCCAGCGGGGGCTGGGGCGGCGCCACGCGGGGCGCCGCGAAATCGAGCCGTCGCGGACATTATCCCAGCTCTGGCCGCGCGGGGCGTCCCCGTCCCCGTCCTCGTCCTCGTCCTCGCGGTCGTGCTCGTGGGCGGCGGCGCGCCCAGCCGGCGTGGGCGTGCCGACCGGCCGGCTGCGGCTGCGGGTCGGCGACGCCGAGGGCGAGCGGGCGCCCTCGCTCTCCGCGTCGTACTGCGTCTCGCGCTCCATCAGGCCGCCGGCCAGGCGCGGCGCCAGCGGGTTGCCGCCGTTCACGAACGTGGCTTGCTGCGGGCGCGGGTGCGAGGACGACGAGGACGCGCGCTCGTGCGCCGGGCGCCGGGATGTGGGCGAGGGCATGGCAGTGGCGGTGGCGTGGGTGGATGTCTCGGCGCAGCGTTTGACACTTTAGTCTTGAAGGCTCTGCGCGCTGCGGTGCGCGGGAATCCGGCGGAGCCGCGGGGTGGGGGATCGGGCGGGGCGATCAACCGTGCCTTTGATGACGAGATAAAACTGCGACGGTCGTGGTGATCGTCGTCGATGTCGATGTCGGTGTCGTCGTCGTAAGAGACGAAGAGCAAAGATTTGCTGCGTCTCATCCGCTGCATTCGGTGCCGGCGCCAAGCGCACCGTTCTTGCGCGCATGCACGCATGCGCGATGCGTCAGCGCCCAACCAAAATGGCACGCCGCAGGCCGGCCGACGGCCATGTCCGATGACGTCTATTCGTCCACGAGGCTCCACTACCCGCTGCGGGTCAAGTGATGCTCGTCAGGCTCTGCACGCGACCGGTGTCAATGCGATCGGCGGGTCCAGACGTCGAGAAAGTGGGGTTGATGGATGGCTTCGGTTACGGCGTTGGCTGGGCTCTGGATACACGCTGCGCGTGCTGGGCACGCGCAAGGTGACGCGCACGTCATTCCTGGAATCACGGAGTGTCGGCCGGCATGCCGTTGGGTTGTGCGGCGGTGGTGAGGTGATGGATGCCAACGGAAATGCCTCGGACACTCATTTCGGCGTGGTGACGCCGCAGCGGGCAGCCCAGGCGTACCGTAACATCTGTGAGGCCGGAGCAGTTGAAGGCGGCACCTGCCACCTCTCAACCCTCATCGTTTCCTCCTCGTCGCAAGTCCCATGTATCCCACTTCTGCACTGTTGCCCTCGCTACAAGCCTCGCTGCGCTCGGCTCGTTCACTCAAGACATGATTCATACTCTCTGCGCTCCCCCCGCCGTCGTACACTGCTACTTCGACACACAAACAGTCTACGCCAACACACAATCTCTTCTCACGAGCGGCCGAGATCAAGCTCACGCTGCCCTCACTACACCGCCGCCGCTACTGGAGCATGTACGACGGCGTCTTCGGCTTCTTGTCCTTGTCGCCCTTGGTCCGGAACTGGGCAAAGACGGGGATGTGGCTGGAGTCAGTGTTGTCGAACACACTACTCACTCTGACGGGAAATACGCGTTCGGGAAGCCAACCACCTTGCTCAGGTACTTGCGGTCGACGTCGCCGAGCACGCTCGTGACCTTGAGCGAGCGTGGCGTGTAAAAGACATAGTCGATGGCCTCGTCGAATGTCGGCGTGTAGTTGGTCATCTTCATCTCGCCAAAGCTAGAGCACGACGACTGCAGCGCCAGGTCGTGCTTCAGGCCCTTGTCCGTGTACGCGCCATACTTGTGTTCCATAAAGTCCTCGTGCGTGCCTGGCACCTCACCCTTGGAGATGTACTCGTACACGCCCGAGTTGGCGAGCGAGTTCAAGTCGACACACAGCACGAGCGGTATGTCGCGCCCACGTGCCTGCTTGTCGTACTTTGGCACGGGAGGTGCACCGTCCACCGTCGGCTTGGCGGGGAACGTGCCGAACGACTCTACAATCTCGCCGAGGCGCTCCATCATCATGCCGATCTGGACAAGCTTGACGTCGCGGAATCTGTGGTCCCAGAAAATGTGCGCGTTGGCCACCACCAGGCGTGCGCCCGTCTTGACAAACTCGAGCAGCGCCGCCGTGGCAATGTTGTCTCGCGACATGACGCGGTTGAACATGTCCTCGGTGCGCATGTCGGCATTGTGCAGCGCCATCTGGTTGAACTCGATGACTTGGGTCTCGATAAGCTGGAACTTTTCCCGCTTCCAGAACGTTGCACAACCGTCAATGAGCTTGGCGTCGTCGGGTGACATGGTGCGCGCACGTGAGCGTGGGTAGTGCGCGCCGTCGTAGCCTCGCTCCTTGAGCTTGGGGTGGAAGAACTCGGCATACTGCTCAGAGTCGATCTCTTGCAAGCAGACGACGTCGGCCGACGCGTTGATGAGCTCCTCGAGAAGCGTTTCCCGGCGGTACGTCCACTCGAGCGCCCATGCTGGCGTGTACCCGTATGACGAGCTCGGTGCGAACGACGGACACAAAATGTTGTACGACAGCGTCGTAAACGACTCGGTGTCGCCAGTGTCCACCTCGAGATCGGGGTCGACCTCGATCCAGGCGCGCTCGGGGGGAGGGTCGCTCTGGTGCATGTCACGGAAGTGCGCGATCAACGCTGGCGCGCCGTTCTCGGCCAACATTTTGCGCACAAAGTCGTCCATCGGGTTGCCCTCGATGCCGAGGACCTCGAGCTGATAGAGGCCGCCGATCTCGGATGGCAACGACGTGAGCTGGTTGTCGAAGAGCAGCAGCTCCTTGAGCTTGGACAGCATGCCAATCTCGGGAGGGAGCGCCACTAGTTCGTTGCTGGTTGCGTCGAGCAATGTCAACTGGCGGAGGTTGGAGATGACGGGAGGGAGCACTTTGAGGTTGTTGTGGTTGATGTACAGCGATGTGATGTGGGTGAACGTGAACAAGGAAGGCGACAGCGTCTTGAGGTGGATGCCGCCGAGGTCCAAGCCTGTCCACGGCTCATACGGCGCGTCGTCTGGTTTAGACGCGGGCGCGGGGGGCTGCGCGGGGTTCATTGGGTCGGCCGTTGTCTCCGAGTCCTTGCCGCCGCCATTGACGGGCGGCGAGGGCGCCGCGGATGGCGCGTTGGATGTGACAGAGAGAACATTCTTTCTGTGCCCATTGGGTGTGCCTGGAGCTGGCGAGCCACCCCCTTGCGCAGACGCGGGTCTGTTGTTGTCATTTGGGTTGAGGATGGCGACCGCCGCGGGCTTGTGGGTCATGCGCGAGGCCATGGCCGCCGAGCGCGCGCGGTGGTGGGGTGAAGACGCGACGCGCGATGTCTCAGCCCGCATCAATTGCTGCTGCCAGTGAGCTGTCAAGGGCATCGCCTGCTCTTGTTGGGCTCTGGGCGGGCTTGCTGGTTGGCCACCAAAGCCCATCGCGCCGCCCAAGCTGCTGCTGAACTGGCCTGGTCCGCCGTGGCCGCCAAGGCCCAATCCTCCCTGCCCGCCAAAGTGCGCCGAGTTGCCGGCGCCATTGCCGAACGAGGGGTGATGAGGGTGTTGGTGATTGTGCGAGTGCAGACCGCCATGCTGGTTGTGAACATGAGGCCCACCTGGTCCGCCGTGATGTCCTTGGCCTCCTTGAGGGTGGCCACCGAAGAGACCACCACCGCCCTGTCCGCCGCCGCCAAAAGGAGAGTTCATGGATAGAGGGGTATTGAAGGCGGCTGGATGCCGGCTCCAACCTGCTCCTCCTCCATTGCCTGCTCCGCCACCGGCACCTCCTACTCCTACTCCTGCTCCGCCGCCTCCGCCGCCACCACCACCACCACTACCACCACCACCAACACCACCAACACCACCTCCGCCTAGTCCTCTGCCACCAAGCCCGCCGAGGGGCTCAGTGCCGCCTTCTTGGTGGTGCTTGGCCTGGGCAGAGGTCGCCGACTGCTGAGTGTAAAACATCCAGTGGGTATCGACGTATCAAGGAGGCTGGGGGATTAGCAAAGTCGACAAAAGCTGCCGACATACAGCAAGATGTCGAGTGAGTTGTATCCCGGAAAGGAGTGATAGAGAGGGGAGGTCGAGTATCGGGGGGAAGACTGTAGATGACCAAGGGTGGAGGCATGGGCGTGCCGGGTGGTGGCGTGTAGCTCCAGGCTAAGACTACGAGCAGCAGTAACAAGGTACGGCGCTCGTGGGTGTCGGAGGACTTGGGAGAGGTGCGAGTTGCTGGCCCTCTGGTGTGCAATTGCGCGGGGGTTGGAGACTTGGCGGGCGCGCGCAAAGTAGTGTTGGCGAGGATAGGGGTGGGTTGCCTTGCAGAGGAGGAAGAAGGTCAAGAGGTAGAGGGGAGAGGAGTTTGAAGTTTAGATGGATGATGATTGAGGATGGTGGTAGGTGGCCAAAGTGTTCGACAATGACGGGGGGAGAGAAGGGTTGCGCGTCGAGGATGGGGCTCAGGCTCAGGGGAGAGAGTCTGGAAGTGGGGGATATGATTGATTGTTTGGATTGTTGATGGGGGTGGGGGTGGGGGTGTGGATGTGGGTGTGGGTGTGTGAAGGAGGAGAGTATAGAAATGGATGATGATGGGGAGGAGGGATGGGATGATGGTGAAGGACTGGGAGATGATGGTGGTCGATGGAGAGTGGTCGAGTGGTGGAGAGGTCGAGTGGTCGACTGAGGGAAGAGAGCCAGGCCATGCAGGCCACCAGGCCACCAGCCACCAACTGATTACCTTTGGAGGGGCTCTCCGTTCCTAATGCTTCCTAATTCCGACTAATGCTGACGAGGGGAGGGGTGGCCCGGCCAATCCCTCCCAATCACGGCGTTACCGGCGTTCTGCTTCCGCTCATCGTGGCAGCCACAACTATATCCGAACTTTCTCCGTTCCCCATCAGATGACATGACATCATCCACTACCCTCGTGGCTCGGCTCGTGGCTCACATCATACTCAGCAGACGTGTCTACATCCCCCCTCGCACGCAATTAAATGCAATACATCTCATGCAAACGAATACAAGGACCCATGGGGTCTCAGGTCCTATCGGTCAGTGTGTCAACAATATAGCGTAGTAATAGTAACGGCGGGTGACGTGAGAGGATTCGTGGAGGTAAAGTGGAAGGGACGAGTTGGTGATGAGGATGATGATTGTGGGGTGATGGCCATGACCGTGCACCAAAGATGCGCCCTCTGTGAATATAACGTCGCTGCTGCCACATCCTCGGTCGTGACATGGCGACGTGCCGTATGCCGAGAGGACAGTGCTCACCCCCCATTTCAGGGAGGGCTCTCCGCGTACGACGACGACACATCCCATGGCTTGCCCGCGGCCAGCGCAAACTCGCGCACGAGAGAGCGCCCAAAGACGGCAATGTGCGCGACGCCATTTTGCATGCCAAGCTCGATCGGCCAGGCAAACACGTCCAGGTCGTCAATATCGAGGTTACGTGCGCAGCCAAGGGTGTCACCGGACAATATGTCATCGGCGAGATCAGAGTTGATGGCACGGTCGTACGTTTCGGGAAACTTGTTCTTGAGCAAACGGAGTGAAAGAATAGCACGCGACTGCAGCAGTGCACGCTGTGAGCTTGAACTCGAAGTGTGGGCAACGTTGAGAAGCTTGAGGAGATCGGCAGGGAGCTCCGAGGACGACGAGCCGGGTGAGCGACCATTGCCGGCCGGAGAGGCCGTCGACGAGGAAGGTGAGGGCCCAGATGTCGAAGAGCTGGAAATTTCCTTGCCCATGCGAAGGTGAAGCGAGCGCAGGTCTGTTCGCGCGATGACGTCCGAGGTAATCGCCTCCATGAGGTAGCTGCGTTGCGTCAGCGCGGTTGCCCCAAACATGTGCGATGAGATGGGATGGTTCCACCTGTGTGCACATGTCGCACGACGCTCTCGACAAAGTACTTACATGAGGCCCTGCATGCCCTTGATGTGCTCTTTCCAGTCACTCATGAGCGAGGCGTGGTCGTCCCATCTCTGCCGAACGTACACGCGGAGCGCGTCGAGCTGCATGTATGCAGAAGTTGACACGACACCGCGGTTCACGCGCTCATCGCAAAAGTTCCGGTACAGGTAGTAGCAGAGCGACTCGGTGAGCAGCAGCAACCCACGCAGCTTGTCCTGCGGGACACTGTTGAGGAGGTGGCCCTTGGCAGCAGCGGGGTACATGTAGGCATCACCAAGTCGTTTCATCTGGAGCGCGCGCTTGCCAATCCTGTAGTTGTCAGAAGCAAAATCTTTGGACATGTGTGTATAACTCACTCGTCCGACAAAGACTTCCATTGCTCGGGCGTCCAGTCACCCTTACCGGTGCCCCCACGAGTAATCTCGTTGCGCAACGAGCTGCGGTTCTTGGGAGAGGAGAGTAGAGAGGCGCGTGATGGTTGGGCCGAGGAACCGCCAGGGACAACGTCAGTGGTGCGGGCCTTTTTAAGTGGAGGGCGTGAGGAGATGTTGGAGCTGGAGGCAAGGTTAAGGCCCAAGCCGAGGCCGCCGTTGGGAGTCTCGTCACTGCTCAGCTTGCGCTTCTGGGCGCGGGCATACTCCTGGAAGCTGGAAAACTCTGCGGTTGGTGGGTTTTTGGGAGGGTTCTTGCAGTCGGGCGGAGGGAGTGCAAATGCAATGGGGGCGGGAAGTCGGCCGATGAGCTGCAAAGTTAGCGCCAGAGAGAGTAATGCCAGGCAATGTATCCACCTTGAGGACTGCCTCGGCGTTGCGCTTGGCCTCTTCTGAAACAGGCTGAGGCGATGAGACGTTGAAAGCTGGTGTGCGAGGGTTGAAGGCGGGACGGCGGGCGGCTGAGCCAGAGCCTGAGGCTGAGCCCGAGGAAGGAGATCGGGGAGGCAAAGAGCCTGTACGGGGCACGTACGCCGAGCGAACAGCGGCGGCGGACATTGTATAGGTAGATGAGGGGGCGGGATTGTGGTTGTTCTGCTGTGTAGACAGCAAGTTGGATGGGAGAGGAGAGGAGGTTCGAGTAAGTGGGTAGGTAGTAGGGATGCGGGGAATGTGGGCGGCCGAGGAGGCGTGCCGGTTGAGGGCGCGTGCGCGTGAGGCGGGGGTTTGTTGCAGGTGGCTTCTGAGCAGCCAGCGTTACTGGGGGGAGGGTGTGGAGGACAATGGAAAGGGGGAGGGTGGTTGCTGAGCTAGTTGATGATAGCAGCAGCTGGAGATGGGATGATGAAGATGAAGAATAAGAGAAGAGTAGTAGTGTGATGGATGGCTTGGCGAGGGCGGGGGTGGGGGGCAAGGGGTTTCTGAAAAGGGGGATTATGGAAGCGGCTGTGTCGGGTAAGGCCGACTGGTCAGCGGCGGCGTCTAATAACTCGGGGTTGAGCAGTTGACAATTCCGGTAGCGAATTGGGGACAAGGGGATGCGTAGCACACTGCGTTGGAGGCTGAGTGAGGGGTGATGTAGAGGAGAGCCAGTGCAATGCAGCGAGTGAGCAGAGTGATGTAGCGAGTAAGAGGTGGGGGGGGGGGGGGGGGGTGTGATGGGGGCGGGGGGAGTGTGAGTTGGGTAGAGGGGGAGGGCAGTGCGGGTGTGCGAGAGAGAGAGAGAGAGAGAGAGAGGGAGGAAGAGAGAGAGAGATGAAGATGAGGGTGGGGTTGTGCCAAGGTGTTATGGTGTTGGAGGACGTTGAAGAGGGGATGAGAAGAGTAGTAGAGATGAGAAGAGATGAGAAGAGATGAGAAGAGATGAGAAGAGATGCGGGCCCTGCGAGCTGCGGGCCTGCGGGGGAATGGCAAGTGTCGTCGACCAAAGACACTGTTCCGACCGCGCAGTTTGCTCGAGTCGACCGACGACATTGCTCAGTGCACAGTCATGCATCCATGTAAAGACTACAGTAGTAGTGTAGTCACATCAACAGTGCAGCAGTCAGTTAGTTATATGTCGGGTGGCGCTCGATCGAGTAATCTTTGCACGCCGCTTCTTCAACCTGCAGTAGTTACCTTGCTCCTCGGCGACAACTGCTGCGTGCGTCACTGAGGATGCACTTGCTCGCTGCTAGCGACGGACATGGTGGGATCAAGTCGGACAGTCGAATGTCTCGGCCGTCCACCATGGCCACTTTGGCATATCCGCTGCATGCTTGGATTCTCCGCATCTCCGCATCTCGTTATCAGTCGGCATTAGCTTGCTATGGGGACTACGAGTGCTCAAGCATACAATCTACCTCTGCGTGATGCAAGCTACAGTACCCCCCGAAGGCAAGAGTCGTGTGAGAGGGGATGAGATGAGTTGGCGGCATCTGTGCATGAGGCATGGAGGCGTTGGATAGCCATGGTGGTGGCTTGGGATTGAATCTCCCTCCTGCCCACTCTTTCCACACTGCACCTCCTCCTCTTCTCTCCCCCTCTTCCAGCCCTCTTCCCGGAGAGACTCAAAGATGAGAGTTGGTTGCGAGATTATGGATGGGCAGAGTAGAAGAGTGCTCGAGCGCCCCAGAGAGAGAGAGAGAGAGAGAGGGAGAGCGGATAAAGAGATCGAGTAACCGGGGCCACAGTCCGAGATGTGACCCTGAACTGATAGGCAGTGGATGAAGAGTACAGTAGAAATTTGATTCCGTTGAGAGGAGATGGGATTTTGGGTGGCTCAGGCACAACGGCGGTCGAAATGATTCAGGGACATGCCCTCACTCCCCTTGGCCCGGCGCCGCTTCCCCCCCAACCCCCCCCCCCCCCCCCGGTCCATGGTCTTGATTGAATGCACCACCCCACACCACTCTCCCTCTCTCTCGCTCTCTCTCTCTCATCGAGCTCATCATCTCTTTCTCTCTTCACACTATCACCCTCGTCGTAGTCGTCCTCCTCCTCCTCCCTCTGACTCTCACTCCACAACTCACAGAGCTCTCTCCTCGATATCATCATCACCATCACTACACCTAGCCATCACCACCACCACCTCCCACCACAACCACCACCTCCCATCTCCCCACTCCACTCCACTCCTCTCCCCCCCCCCCCCCCCCCCCATCTCCCCACTCCACTCCACTCCTCTCCCCCCCCC